TTAGAATACGGTAGATACACCATACACCTAATTGTCAAGAGCTTATGATCTAAACTATCTCCACATCGAACATCTGTGAATGTCTATAGAAATATGAAGAGTTATGCATTCAATGTTATATCTGAATTTACAACATAAAGTCATTATAGTAGTGAAAGGTATGTTTTCTTTCTGCAACATTAGTTTTGATTTGCCATGTATTTGAAAAACAGCTCAAACTAAACAGCTAGGTTGAAGAGTTCAGCTGGTAGATGGATGAAATATGTGCCTTGACGAAGCATTTATAGAGCCCAGCGTGAGCTACTAGATTTATTAGAAACAGGTTATGTATGTCTAAAACTATTGTAACAATTCAAGAAGTGGTTTTGAGAATTTTCAATCATGCACCTAAACTTCATTATCTATATCCAAAATTATTGGGGTGATTCGAGAGATAGTTTCAGGAGTTTTCAATGATGTGCAATGTACTGATTACTAGAACATTCTGTCAGATTCCATTGAATGCCACGCTGAAATATTGTATCAGACAGGGCCGTCATGAGAGATACTGTTATTCAAATAACCACTAAAATTGCAATCATATTGTCTTTTTGGTACATTCTTCTATACCGGGGATTAGTAAAAGTAGTTTTTTCCAAAGTTTTGGGGGAAAATGTTTAATGATTTCTTAAGTTAGGATCCAAAGATTTGAATGATCTCAGGATGTTGGTTCTTATGTTAATTGTGTAGAGAAACAAAATTACTTTTTAAGCAAAAGCCTAAACAAGTTAATAGTTTATTTTTAAATAAATATTCTTTCTCAAGTTTCTCTGCAGTGCGCGTTGACGTGTATCACTTAATTTATCCTTTCTAAAAGACTGCTCATGAGTTTTAAAAAAAAAATTTCAATTTTTTTTTAAATAATGATTTGTAATTTACTCTAACCTTTTTTATGTAACTGTAGAGCAATATATATACTTCCGATTCCTTTTACTTCTACTAAAATAAAACAACAATAATTATAATTAGGGGAATATAAAGGAAATTATAAGAAAATATTAGGTTTCTCTACTTGAAGAAAAAATCCTTAATTGCCCAGTATGATAGTTACAAACTTTTATTTTCTTGGGACTTAACTTTTCTGAACACAAAACAGTAGATTTAAGATGTATTTATTCATATTTATATGTAATCATGTTAATCACATATTCATAAATTTATGTCAAAAGTTTTTTTATATTCAAAACCTGTCTCATTATTTTTGAAACAATATAAATTTGGACTTGCGGCTCTCAAACGCTCATAAAATCTATCATGCGGCTCCCATCGTCTTGAAGTTTGGCTATACCTGGTATATACAATAGTGTGTAAACATTTGAAGGTAATATATTCAAAAATCTGCAGTAAATCATAGTTGCAAACCTTTACATCTGAAAAATCGAGAGCTTTTCATGCTGCACAGCAGAGAGTTTCCAAGACGTTGACAAACTTAAATTTGCTTTATAATACACGATTCAGGTCACTACAGTATTTGTAATGTGATTATGAATCTAAATTTTATGTTTTTGACCAATTTCATTTCCTTTTATAGTTTTCTTAATTTTTTTACTATCAAGTCCCTGAGTAAGAAGAAAATCTTTTATTTATAAAAGTACTTTTAAATATGACGGAAATAAAATTAACAACTGATACCAAATAATAAAATTAGTTACTTAATAATTAACTACAAATTCAGAACAGTATAGTACGAGCAGATAAATGAGAAAAATACAAAACAAAATAATTTCTTCACTTTACATTAGTCAAATTACAATCCCTTCACTTCACTTAGTTCCACGTACATGGATTCAGCATAAGAATGTGTTCATGCTCTTCTCCACCTAATACTCATGTGGTTATATCCCCATTTATGTTCATTCTGTGATTTGACAAGTGAAAAGACAAAAATGTGTCAACTGCAGCAAAAGAAGAGGCTAAAAAATCAAAACTAGGAGATTCGGTGACCTACTAGATGTGAAGAAAAACCAGGAGAACAGGCAGCTATGGATTATATGAAAGTGCAAATAAAACCAAACATTACATGCAACCTGATATTTATCTAAAAAGGATAAAGTATAAACAATAAATTACAATAAAATAATATCAATATTAAACAGAAATCATACAGAAATTTGTTTTATTTCTGGACAATTCTTTTTACCAAACCTTTAACTAAATGCTCAGTACAGTATATTGCATGCACACATTAACGAGATTCAGTTTATTTTATACTGATTAAGAAAAAATACTTCCTGAAATATCCTTAATTTTGATAAACGGATTATTAAAAATTGAAATAAAACATTTATTTAGGAATTTAGCATTAATTATAAGCTGAATTTTGCCACTAACAAGGTAATAGGTTCTAAAAAGGGGTACTATTCGGTTTCGAGGGCCGAAAAATCACCAAACTATTGTTGATGCCAATGCTGCCAAAAATAATTGCGGCAACCCTAATAATTGCGGCAAGAAAGGAAGTATAATAGTAAATAACTATTTAAGATTGATGCTTTAATTTAGATGAAAGGTTAATTTCATATAATACGTTTTTATTATTATAATTTATATGAAAAAGGCTAAACATGATTGAATGGAAGCATAAAAGTAAATAACTATTTCAGATCATTATTATAATTTATATAAAAATTGCTAAACATAACTGAATGGATGCCTGCATCGCTATTTCGCTACCGACTTACCGCTAAAGCATAGTTTCATCTCGTTGGTTGTTCAAACGTAATTTTCTATAATGAATGATGCCTTTTCTTCGAAAATATTCTCGGTAAAGTGCAGAATTGCTCACTTATTTGTTTGCCGCTTTTTACAAAGGTAAAAACAATTGGATTTTTGTCAATTTTCTTTTACTTTTTAAGTGAAAATAGGTCGATGTATACATAAAGTAAAGGGCGTGCGCAGTGCCATTTTTGTGCAATTCTAAGATTTTTTTTAAGTGAAAATAGGTCAATGTGCACATGGATACCAAGTATGTGCAATTCTTAAAAAACGCATCCGAGCAGTAGGTGATTCTGCACTTTACCCTAAATTCTATTGCCGAGTTTTCGTCATGGGCAATTCCTAAATTGTTAAATCTATAGGATATCAAAAAAGGATTTAAAAATTAAACTAGTATTTTAATGGCGTCTTAAGAAATATAGAACTATATAAACTTAAACACGCAATCTGAAATCAGCGCGTATGCTAGATTTGGCGTGCTGTTAAATGGGCGCGTTTGCTAGATTTGGCGCTTTTGCGCATACATTTTCGCTGCAATTGTTTTACGGTCCTCGAAACCGAATAGTACCTAAAAAGGTTTAGTAAGGCTGGTTTTTAAAATTTTTAATCTTATCATTGCATAAACAGTATACATTTTCTCTTATGAGTATGAAAGTAAGATATTCTGAAATTCTATTATTATCTTCAAAAGATGACAAAAAATAATTTGGATGTTACAACTGTCATGGAACGAAAATTCTTAACATGTTTGGATTGATCTATTTTACAATACTTAGCCTGTTCTCGCTTAAAACATGTTTTATAATTTATGAATTACGTTTTATAATTTTACTTTAAACTTTCCGGTATGGCTCCGTGACGTAGACGATACTTTTACCCTGTTTGAAGGTAATAAAGATGATTTAAATAAAGTTCTTTCAACAATGAATTCTATTGATCCTGCTACTCAGTTTACTTTTGAACTTGAGACTTGCAATTCTCTTCCGTTCCTCGACATTCTGGTCACACGTAACACATCCAACTTCAGTACTATGGTTTACCGTAAACCTTCATTGGTTTGCCTTCCACCACACTTTAAATCATGTCATCCGACTAAACAAAAGTTAGCTTCATTTTATTCGTATGTTTCCCATGCTCTTCAAGTTTGCTCCTCCAAACTATCCCTTGATGAAGAACTAAATTATTTAAAAGCGATAGCTATTGACAGGGGCTTTTCACACAACATTATTAATCAAGCAGTTAAAAAATTCTCATCTCAACACTCTAAAAGGCACACTCTTGTTTTAGGAGATTTTAAAAATTACGTTGTCATTCCCTTCTTTCCATTAATTAGCTATAAAGTTGCACATATTTTGCAGAAATTTAATTTTCCGGTCGTTTATTCTCCCATCAATAAAATTCTGAGTTTCATACTCAAGGACCCCATTCCAGATATGAATTCCTGGGGTATTTATAGTATTCCTTGGCAGTGTGGTTTAATTTACATTGGTCAAACTAAGAGAGCCTTAAAATTTCGTGTCAAGGAACATGAGGCATATGTTAGAAAAAAGAAAACACAGAAGTCTTCTGTTGCCCAACACTGTTGGTCCAAAAATCACACTTTCAATTTTTCTGCTGCTAAAATTATTCAAAAAATATCTTCCATTGGAGAATTGGATTTTCTAAAAGCATTTCCCATTCAAAAAAATCTTTCTTTCTAGTTAACGATCCTAATTCCAATCCATCTTTGCCTTCGGCCTTTAACCACTTGCGCTATAACTAAACTTCACGGTTGCAGTGCCGTGCGCTACAATATAACAAGCAGTAAAGTGTCTCATTTACACCGCTCCGCGTCTGCGAGTGCAATCCAGAGCTGTAACTCGAGAAATAAACAATCTCATTGTTAGGTGACATGTGCACCACGTTATTTTCATTTTTGCGCGTGGTTTGAGACAAAAGCATCTCAATGTGTGTGGCACGTCTTTTTAGCGCAAGTGGTTAAAGAAATTATGTTTTAGTTCTGGTTTCATCAACAGATGGTGCTACTAGCTTATTTTCTGTCCACGCTTTCTTATCTTATCTAATCATTTTATCCTATCTCGTTTATTTGTGCTTTTGCAGCTGAGGATGGTGGTTCGGTAAAACCATCAAAACTAGTCCTGTGAAAATTTGAAAACATAACGCTGATTTTTGTTGTCTGACTTCTGATTTGAGACATTTTGTATTTAAAATTTTCTAAGAACGATAGATGCAAAAATTTCCTTTCATACCTGTTCACGTAATGGTTCACCATCCTTATCACCAGCATCCATGCTATCTCCCGATATACCAAGAGTTTCATCACCATCTGTATCAAACAAAGTGTATTAATAAAAATTAAAATGATGTTAAAAGCATATTTAATACACAGGGAGAAAATTTCAGTTTTTTCCCTTTCAACAAATTTATGCATTGCAATCGTATGAGGTTTTACATTACTAAATAGAAAGTATCAAATTTCAGATCATACCAACAAGAAAAACTATTAAATCCAAAAATATCTTTCAGTTTCACATTCTTTAGCTAAGGGTAAAAATAATAACTTTTCATAAAATTTTGAAATTCTTCTTATAGTTATTTTTTAAATCAAAAGAGTAATTTTCATAGTTTTTTAAAATAATATGAAAAATACTTCAGTAATCTTCAAGTAATAGTACAGCAGATAAGTTTTTATGTTAATAAAAAAATATAAAAACAATCATTACAACATAAAAATTTGAACTTTTAAATGTTTTATAAGTTAAAATACATTACTTCATTGACAAGCCAAATTTCTTTGGAAGCTTAAATGACATCAGATGATGTGATAAAGACGTGAAATATCAAGGGATGATACAAATGACTCACTGTAAAACTCTGATGCATTAATACAGATTACTTATAGATCATGTATTGTATCGTCAACTCACTAGAATAGATTTTTCGAATTTTAAATTTAAAAATTATTGCTCAAGTCAGAAAATGATCCCATCTTACTATATTTCTTAAAGGTGCATATGCTAATAAATTAATTCTACTTTATCGAGTCTAAAACAAAGAATAAATGCATAACAAACAAATTTCATAAATATCATATTAATTTTCTCCTCCTTTGACTAAATCAGATATATAAAGAAATAAAAATAATAAAATTCAGTAAAATTAAAACATTTTCACAGACCTTTTATTAAAAAAGCCAATGCTATTAATACGCATTAATCTGAATTTCAGACAAGTACCTGATCTTCAACTGCAGTATTACAATATTAAATGATACAATATTTTTAAATAATTCAGACAAATCAAAATATATTTGTATGCATGTATTATAATTAAATAAGATCATGATAATACAGGGTGGAGGATTTTTGATTACCCACTTTGAAAATAATACTTGGCCCTAAAGACAATGAAACTCCAAATAGTTTTTAATACCTTCTCACTACGATTGTCTATTTACATACATGACGCATAGACTTTGGGTGCTTTGGGTGCATTTGCTATAGTTATTAGTGAGTAACAATGTCTGCCAAATGACCACTTCATTGAGTAATGCTCTGCACAAGATGATTATGAACACTTTGCATTACATGTTAAAGACATCCAGAGTTATGCAATCAGTTTCTTTCATGATTTATTCCTTCACCTCTTCCCCACTTCCCACTCTGGTTACAAGCACCTTATTCTTCAAGTATCCCCTATGAAATAAATCTGGGACAAGTTCAAAATACCTAGCATGTCAATGACTGTCATTGAAACACGAAATGTGACCTATAAAGAATTCCTGTAATGTATTGGCGGAGATGATATGTGGACAGTGCCCTGTCATATTTGTAACAAATGTCTCAAAGTTGACATTGACAGTTTTGTAGTTCTTGAATGACAAACTTGTGCATCACATGAAAATATTCTCTATTTACTGCAGCTGCCTGGCTATTAGGCCCTTAAAAAGAGCATAGTCTAATTACTACCACCACGCCAATTCCGCACCAAAAAATGGCCTTTTACAAGTACATCGGTTTTTAATGTCTGTGCTGCAGGTTCTGTGGAGGCCAGCTTTGAAAGTTTTATTTATTGACATAATCTACCAGGTAGAAGTTTGCTTCATCAGTCATCAAAAGGGAATGAATAAACTGAATTTTGTCATATGCACGATTTCTAATATCATATCACCACATATAATTCCTCATCATACACATTTAGTTTTTTGCACAAAATGTAATCGATACAGATAAAAATGAATGTCCAGATCTAAGATCCTGCGCAATCTCCATCATCCATTAATAACAAACACCATCCATTAATAACAATACTTAAGTATGATCTTGTGCTGATTGCCGAGAATTAAGCACCATGGTCTTGCAAATGAATGTTCTCTGATGTTCACTAAATGTGCTGTGGTTTCTTAGGCTCCTCCCTTATGTGTATGCGGGTTATTCTGTAACTTCCACTAGCAAGCCACTGTTTCACCCATGTACCAATTGTCTTCTAATTAGAATTCATTGTATTTGCTCATCACAAAACTCCTTCCTAAAAGGCATGCTTGGAATGTTACAACAGACTGTTTCAATAAACTTCTCTACACAGAACATATGTTATTGAATGAGTTAGCAATTCATGGCTACTGACAGTCAAGGCCACAAGGCTGTTAGCAGAAGTCTTCTGTGACTGTTCATCAATACAGTGTAGCCAGCTCTCCATTTCCAAAAATTTCTGAAGTACTGATTTGGCAGACACAGTGCTTCACAAATAACTATACCAAATGCATGCAAAGCTTAGTAGGAAAATCTACATGTATGTAATTAGAAAAGTATATAAAGGATATAAAATATTTGGAGTTTTATTGTTCCAAGCAAGGAGAGATCATATGATGACTTGATCATGCAAATGTTTCTCACTTAACTCATGAGGCACCCATCTGGAATATTTACAGAGAAATCCTAGTTTCTAAATATGGTCTTAAATAGTTTGTTGAGATGAAGCTTTTCCACTATTTCGAATGCTGTCAAAAAAAGGATCTTGCTCTATCACTGTTTTGATAATATTGTCATCGATCAAAAATGGCTGCCCAGAGGGGGCTTATCATTAAAGATAAAATTACCTCCTTCAAATCTTTTTAACCATTTCCTGCATATTCCATCTGAAACTGCATCTTTGCCAAAAGACATACTAAATTTCAACAAGTTTCTGCAGTATTTCTTCTTTGTTGGAATTTGTATAAAATACTATTTTGTAAATGAATTTTTGGTAGCTATGTTTATACAATCTCATCTCACTTAATAATGATATGAAATACTTTTGTTTCAGTTAATTTAGAAGAGCAGGTACTTATAAATGCAGTGATAAAGACAGGCAGCCATATATATCTTGAAGGAATACCTGCAAACTTTAAATAACATTATTGGACAGAACTTTTCGGTTAGACCTTACATATTTTCATCTAAGCCATCTTCAATTTCCGTTTTTCGCACATAAAGAGAAAATATTTATTTTTGTCTAAAGATATATTTTTTTAATTTCATTTAAAAAGTAAACACTTTTGAAAATTATGATACTTGAGTATTATCTGCTCAACCATGAATTATGCAAAGATCCTGTCAAAGTTGCACCAAATACAGTCAAAAGTCATTAATTCGGACACCCATAATTCGGAATGATCTATAATCCGGACATCAAAACTAAAAACTTTCTGCGCATGCGCCACATTGACACATGCGCAGCGGCGTTCACACGTGCGCGTAAGACCTTTTACGACTGCGCATATGAGTGTGCGCAAGTGCAGAATACGTTTTCGAGTGCGCATTTTATGTATAATGGACGTATAAGCTAAAATTATCTAATTATCTATTTCAGTTATGTTGATGATTGCGTTGTTCCTTAATTTTCGAATTGCATCCGGCTTATTATTTTTTGCAGACTGTAAGAGCAATTTTATAAAAGTAAGCTTAAACTTTCGATTAATCAAATAGAATTTCTGATATATATTTGTTAATATGTAAAGAATCTAAAGCGAAAGTATGTTTTGAAATCCGAAATCTGTTTATCAATTTCACGCTGCTCAGCGGCGGGCGCCTAATGAATTGGAAGTTGATTTGTCAGCACTATCCTTATCTTCAGCGCAGATGTTTTTATTTTATTTGGCTTATAATTCCTTACCAAATGTAGTATTTCATCTTGATATGCTCCGTCTTTGATATGATTTAAAACAAGTTCCTCGTCATTATAATTCGCTTCCGATAGCGAAGAAAAGTGACAGAGGTTATTGAAAACAAAAAAATTTCGATTGACAAATTAGTCGGTGTTCTTGACACAGCAATTATAGGACTTGAACGGCGGAACTTTGTAACTGAACAAGAAATTATGTCTGTTTAATAGAATTAAAGAGAAAGTATTATCACATGAAACGAAGCAAAACTTAAACAACTTACATTGAAAGAAATGATTGCATGTTAATGTCAGTTAATGTTAATGATTGCATTGTTCCTTAATCTTCGAATTGGATCCCGCTTATTATTTTTAGCAGACTGTAAGAGCAATTTTATAAAAGTAAACTTGAACTTTCGATTATGTAAAATAGAATTTCCGATGCTGGAACTTCCAAAGGATCTACAAAACAAAAGTATGTTTCGATGTCCAACAAACAAAAATTGGAATTGCTGCAAAAAATGGATAAAGACATGAAGAATGTGACAGAGAGGTTAGTGAAAACGAAAAAATTTCAATTGACAAGTTAGTCAGTATTCTCGGCACAGCAATTAACGGGACTTGAAAAGCGGAACTTTGTAACTGAACAAGAAATTATGTCTTTTTATAGAATTAAAGAGAAAGTATTATCACATAAAATGAAGCAAAACTTAAACAACTTACATTGAAAGAAATGTTTAATAAAGTAAGCAAATAAATATTAAGCTTTTTCTTTTTGCAAATTTTGATACCCTTTAGATCATAATTGTTCTTTATTTCATAAATTACGGTTTCATATTTTTAATTTTAGAATTTCTGCATGCCATCTTACGAGATTTAAACTGATGATCTATAATCCGGAAAAATCGATAATCCAGAATCGCCGAAGTCCCGACGAGTCCGAATTAACGACTTTTGACTGTATTCGTGTGGAAATCTGAGCCGCACTTCTATATGTAACTCTTGGTTTTATTAAAACCTTCGTCAGTCTCTGCCACAGTCCATCAAACATTCACTGCCGAAGTATTCGACACACTTCATCTCTACACTTAAAAAAAAAGGCCTTTCATGAATTTCTACTACTTTCTTGAACCTCTGTTTAGAATACTATCAGTAAAAACTTCTCACTGGTAGTTGCTACAATCT